GTCCAGGTCTTCATTACGATTCATGGAATTGCAATGAAGATAATTTTGACAAAAAAGTTTTTTAAATGCCCTTTCGAATTGTACAGGTGTTGGATTAATTAAATTCCCACCGTGTTGCCTAATGAACCCAACAAATGTTTCTAGACAGTCACTGTTGATTCTTCTAGCCATTAAATATTTAAATCCCGCAGCAGATAACCTTTCCCATACAAATTTTAAACCATAAAATCGTTAAATATAAACATCTAATTTTTATGATGTGACGTTAATAGTATTTAATTATATACATAGGTAATATAAGCAATTGGGCAGCATTGTGCTTAACGGGTGACTTACAACAGGCATTTGCTAAAACTCATCTGAAGTCAAAAATTTGTACGTAGGAACAAAAATTGAAATAAAATAATTCTTGTATTGTAAATTCATTAAAAACTTACTAATTTGTAATTGTGTGTTTTAATAAATATTATTGTTATATGTTGTTTCACTTCTAAAAAGATACCTACATAACCTCATTTTAAATAAAAAAATAAGGTGCAGAGTTAATTTATTAGTTCCAGGAAGAAACCAAAAAATGTTTAACACATTTCATACAATGAATGGCATACAAAAGTAATTTATTTTAATCTAATGATAAAATTTTTAAATTGGCACATCTAGATTTTCACCGGAACTCATTTATTTAAGTTACACAATATTTTGATTAATTTATTTGCCTAGAATACATTAAAATGTTATATGTACATGTTTTAATTTTTTTCTAAGTGTACATCGCTAATTTGCAATTTTAGAGTTTACTTTTCTCCGTGTAGAAATAAGCGACAAAAACGTCAACTGTCATTGAAAATCTGACCACCCCGACATCAAAGAAGCCGACGCAATCTGTCGCTACTGTATTGTTCTTTATACTGGGACTGAACCGACAATTCCGAAAGCAGAAGCGTATGATTAGAACGCACCTGATATTTTGATTGCTGTTGTCAGTAGGTTCTTTCGTTCGCTATTGGTGTAGTGTCCACCAGTGTAAATTACACCAGTTACACCACCTTATTTACCTTAGTTTACTTCCCTCCTTATTCCTTATACACATTTCGAGTGTAATTCACTCCTGCTAAATAGCTGGTGGGGAAAATATCCACCAGTGGACACCACATCGCCGACTGGAAGGTTTAGTGGATTTTACACCGGGGGGTCGATTCTTGTAGGAACCTTTTCCTATAGGAATTTGTGACACTTTCCTATATGTAGGAAAATGTCATAAATTTTCGATGTATATAAAAATGTCAAAAATTCCTATAGGAAAATATTCCTACGAGTCGAGAATCGACCCCCGGGCCGAACGAAAGGTTTAGTGTACGTTGGTGTAGTTCATTCCTACACCAGTGGGACGAACGAAAGAACCTAGTGTCAGTGAATAGGTTCTTTCGTTCGCTATTGGTGTAGTGTCCACCAGTGTAAATTACACCAGTTACACCACCTTATTTATCCTAATTTACTTCCTCCTTATTCCTTATACACATCGTCGAGTGTAATTCACTCCTGCTAAATAGCTGGTGGAGAAAATATCCACCAGTGTACACCACATCGCCGACAGGAAGGTATAGTGGGTTTTACACCGGGCCAAACGAAAGGTATGGGTGTGGGTTGGTGTAGTTCATTACTACACCCAACTACACCAGTGGGACGAACGAAAGAACCTAATATTAGGTCTTTTCCTTTGCATCGAAAGTGTAGCACTGAACTACACCACTTCTGAAAATATCGTTCCATTTATACAAATTGTATGGATGGAACGATATTTTCAGAAGTGACGTAGCTCAGTGCTACACTGTCGATGCAAAGGAAAGTACCTTATAATTCAAGCAAACATTTTTAGATCGGTTAGTAAACCTCCGAGAATGTCCGATGTTTTGACATCCATGAATCGACTGTCACACGGAGTACCGGCCACCAGGGCTGGTATATCTAAGGGGGTCGCGACATAGGAGTCCATTTTGGACGCCATTTTTTTCGAAATAGTAGTCGCCATTGATCTGGCAACGTAGCAACTTGTAGTCGCCAGGTTTACCAATATAAGAAAAAAAAATCAATGTCATTTCTTAAATGACATTTCCATTATAAAATGCCCATATTTTTTACGATAAAATATTTCAATTTAATAAATTATTAATCTCAGATGTACATAAAATACGTCGGGAAAAGTAGATCACTTTCAATTTTGTGCTGTTTTAGTTTTGTTTATTTTAAAAAGTAATTGAAGAGATGAAGACAATTTTCTTATAGATGATGCATAACAAATTATTGCTCCCTTTTTTAAAGCTCCAGTCCCTTAAGTCTATTTATTTTAGGTCTTTTTAAATTGTTGGTAGGTATTATTCACTTCATTTGTATGTTTTTAGTTAATTTAAATAATTTTGTGTAATATCTTGCGATTTGTTTTCTATACATTTTAGCATGTATTTGTCTACATCTCACAAAGGATGGCTTTGAAATACCTTTACAACAGAGGTACTTTCCTAAAACTGGCCGAAATTTGAAACTGAATACAGTTCTTAGAGAAAATCTCCAGTAAAAAATCTCTGCATGCAGACTAACAGTAGCATAGGTTAACAAAGTTGACAAAAGAGTTGGACAAAACTTTGTCTAGCTTTTTTAATATTTCAGGACAATAGTGTTAACAGCAGACTATAACAAAAACATCCAAAGTTTAGTAATCAAGCAAAATATTCTGGTATCTCCAGAATTATAAACATATGAAAACTATAATAGAAAACATGTATGGTTTCGAATAGAAAATTACCAAAATTAGCATATCTAGTGAATATTGTATTTAAAGAATATATTTTTATTCAAAACTTTTGTGCTTCTACTCCAATACTAACCATATAGAAGCATATGAATTTTATAGTATTTGCAAGATTCCGATCAAATGTACCCACAATTTATAAAGATTATTAAACTAAAATAAAACATTTCAAATAACACCGCTTTTATGTTAAATATGTTTTTATTAAATACACAAATTAGTCTCAACCACACATTTTTTTTTGTTTTTACTTCTAGTGTAAAAGTGACTACTAATTCAGTCTTTCAAGTTTATTATTTATAGAGACCAGCTACTACAAAATATCTTATTGATGATAACTAGGTAATTTCTCTTTAATAATGGTTTTGCATTTATTAACATTTTACAGCACTTTGTTTATATGAAACATCTATGTAACTCTTAATTAAATCAAGTAATTACATTTTCATATTCAACTTATGTATTCTTATTAGAACTTGGTCACTTTTTTACTTTGAATCTTTTGACTGTGGTAACAGTCCATTCACCAAACCACAAAGTCACTTAAAAATGTTGAAAGAGAATGTCATAAAGGTAAAATTCCTTCTTCTATCGTGTTTTTCATGCAATTTTAGGTTGTAAACGTTTTTATCCAACATCTTTTTTACAATTTATCCCAAGCAACACTATGAAAGATTTAAATCCTGGATTTACAGCATTCAGTTTCGAGATGAGTGCAGTCACAATGTAGTTTAAGATATAATTTTCACATGAACACTTATTTACCACAGCACAAACGCATGTACCTATTCATGTAACATTAAAATAAAGTGGAAACAAATTGCATAATTTGCTATATAAAAAAGTACAAAATGTTTTTAGTTTTAATTCGACATTGGACTACGAGGAAAACTGGTTCATTCCACTTGTACCATATTGACATTATTATGCACGATGCTCGTTCAAACGAACATCAGAAAAGTGTTGCCAACTTAAGCTGACTACTATTTCCCCCCTAGCCTCAGTCACCCCCTCATCCATTTACTGGGTCTATGTCGCGACCCCCTTAGATATACCAGCCCTGCCGGCCACAAGAAAAGTTGGCATGCAAAATTTCAATCACTTTCAAGTGACAGTTATAGATTACTTTAAATGTGTTAATTTAAAGTTTCATGTATTTTCTTTAGTTTTTTTTTCGTTGTAAACATTTTTATAAATAGATAAAGAAATTATTATGTCATTTCATTTAAGTTATATTATGCTATGCATGTATCTATTGTACAATTTTCTTGTCGAAATACCATTTTTCTACTCTACCTTATACGATCTCTCAAAAAAAATATTTGGCATCACTGGTCTCTCTACAAACGACGTAGACCTGTAGTTAACATCTGAGACGCTAGATGACGCCATCGTTGCTGCGGTCGTTGCGTTTCCAATCTTTATGTGCCTTATCTCTGGGTACGGGGTCTTTAACATTTGCTGCGTTTGAGAATCCACATCGGATGCATTTTTTACATCTCAAGCGTTTTTTTATTCACATCGGACACATCTGTCCTATTACATTTACGTATACTGAATTACGTGATCAAAGATTTTTTACATCTCAGATACTCAGATGCATCCGATGTGGATTCTCAAACGCGGCAATTATTGGATAGAGGTAAGCATGACAATTTGGACGCCACACTGTCAATTTCGAGCATTCTACGTCACGTTTCCCACGGGTGTACTACGATAAGTTATATTATTTTTTATTAATAACGCGCTATTTTAATAAGTATTAATATTGGAACATTTGTTTCAGCTGCGTATTAATCAAACATCATTTTTAAGTGATTTTCTCAAATTAAAAGATGTCGTAGTTGAATATAATAAGGGTTAAATTTAATTTTGATGTTCCTTTTTAGTGCATTTCGATATGCACGTGTGGGCGCCACAGTGTCAAATATCACCTCGCTATGCGGCTTGATTTTGTTGATCCGCTTTGTTCTTCCACTCCACTTTAATATAGTTCAGTCGTTCGATGTGGATAAACAAACGCGGCAGATATTTCAGCGAGAGAGCTGCGTTCCTACCTCCATGGTTCCAAATAAATACAAGACTTGATGGTAAACTTTTTTTATTTACTAGAAAGAAATTGCTAGCATTGCTTTTAGTCATTCTGTCTGTCAAATTGACATTTTGTTGCGCCATCTGTCAGCTACTGATGGAGGTTATTGAAATATCGTTAATATTCAAAATATTAATTTCTATTTTATTTTGTATAATTAATGTATATAATTATTTATCAATCACTCATAAATTAGCGTAAAAATAGTAAACTTCAGCTACACAAAGTTTATTTCACATATTTCTTTAAAAAATACAAGGTTTATTTGTAATTACTTTGGCGGGTTTTATACAAACAATAGTTTAATGGCCGCAAATGTGAAGGTTTTGGATGGAGTATCATTTAGAATTTAGACGCTATCGAAGGTAAACAATGTTAACTATTATGTTTTATGTTTAAAAGGCAGAGTAAAGCAGGCGAGATGACTTTTATTTGAAATATGTTATTATTAATAGCCACCGAAGCCTAGGGTGTGATCCAGATATGTTTATGTTGCAATGTGTCTATACTTTGTTTGGAGTATTTTATTACCCGTATATTAACTTTTAGTTGCTATAGGAGCGTATCCAGGTTCAAACCCTGAAAATGTTGTCAGCAGTTAACCATATACAAACAAATGTAAAGAAAAAAAGTGTTCCTGAACGACAAACTGCAGTACCTGATAGCACAACATCGATAGAAATGTCTGAATTTTCCGTAGGCCACGATGTACTCGTAAAACAAAAAGATGATAGGTATTATTTTGGAACAGTGGTTCAAGTGAATAGCATAAGAGAACAATGTTTAGTGAAATTTGGTGATAACACCTACAACTGGTCTAGTTTCAAAGATCTGACAAAGTTGAGCACTCCAGAACAGGAAGATTTGCTGTGTGTAGTTTGTAAAAAGTCTTCACCCAAAAATAATCAGGAAATTACAGTATGTGATCAGTGCGGTAGAGGATATCATACAAAATGTCATGTTCCAGAGATACCTACTCACTGCCAAAAAGAAGGTAGGTTTTGTAAGTAGTTTCAAATCTAAACTTATAGTTAATATCCTTTTTATTTGATTCCATACAAAAAATATAGTATATTAGTAGTTTTTATGATTATTTTAAACCCTTACACTAAAATATACTGGGGTCTATTCTGTAACAATTCATTTATATTTAACGGCCTTTAAAAATATTTTCTTCTTTACTTCTGTCATTATTTAAACGGATCTTTAAAATACATTAGAGTACTATCTTAAAGAAATCTGTTTAAATAATGACAGAAGTAAATTAACGAATACAAATATACTTTTAAAGGCCGTTAAATATAAAGGAATTTTTACAGAATAGTCCCCACTGTTCTCTATTGTTTTGAAGGTTAAACTTTTTATATGTCTGGTGACTTTTTAATTTTGCTTATATATTTATGGGCCAGTCTTTTCACCTCTGAGTAAAGTTGAAAGTAACTCCTTGCTGATTAAAATATAGGGCTGTTTGTTAATCTGTCAAGTAAACCTACCTGTAATTTTACTCAGAGGTGAAAATATCAACCCTAGGTTATTTAAAGAGATTAGAAAAGTTTTTGATCAAAAAATCAAAATTATTGTACTTTGGGAATGTGTTTTTCTTGGTATTTTCCTAGTAGACAGATCTAGTGGCCAGCTGCTAATACAAAACAATTACCACATTTTAGAGAATATCTTGTAGTAAAAATAAATAAAATACAATGTATAAAATAACTAAGTAAACATAGGTACTAAATGAAAAGACAATATCAACATATGAAGTGTTTTGATTTGAGACTTTGAATTTGTGCTCAAAAGTGTTTTTAACCTACTGAAATTTGTCCAAACTAATTAATTTGAAAACACATGAACTCACAACTGAAGTGTAAATTGTCCGAAGTGTTGCCAAGTGTAAATTTTTTCATTTACCACTTTCCACTAAGTACTTTTGTTTTAAGATGACTAAATGATAGAAATGTGATTCAGCCTGTGTACAAAAGGAGGACAAGAATGAACTATTTGGCAATCCTTGTCCTTGTGATTGTTGTCAAAGAATGGTATGTAAAAATTGCTGCTGGAATCAGACCATCAGAGGTAAGAGTACTTGGGTTAACATCCAAATCTTTATTATATTTTTTGTATATTAGGGATCCAAAGATTACCTCAGTCTGATATTAAAATTATGTAAATGCAAAGTGAATTAAAAGACTTAAAAAACAAAATTTTTCGGTTGACTAATAGCAATATTAAAATTAAATATCTAGAAAATGAATTAAGCAGGATAAAAAACAAGGTCAGGTCAGTCAAATGACTAAATCAGACTCAACTGTTCATCCACCTTTAGAACAACTCTGTTTCAAAATGGATTTCGTGTTGAAAACTATAAAAGAAAGTAACTCTGACTTCATCAAGTCTGGTTAAACAGTCAATTACAGATGCCATCCTCAACATTCAATACAATCCAGTCTACCATGTAAGAACAGCCAATATTGAACCTGATACTGGTTCAAAATCCTCTAACCATCTAAGCCCAACTTAAAAATTGCCAGTCCGAACATAGGAGAGAGGCTAACCAAACTCACATGGCTGTATCTTTCTAATCTAAGCTTCGATAATGCACCAGAAGATATTTTGTCTCTCTTGTATCCTGACTTCAGCAATGAGTATGTATGTGAAAAACTTCCTTCTAAGTTTAAAAATCCTCCCAGTGGGACTTTCAAATTGGCAGTACCAGAACATCTAGGTGAAAAATACCTTTCGACTGATTTTTGGCCAGATGGGTGTTACGTAGTCTTATTTCAACAAAAAAAATCATTTATTCCCCAAAAACAAGCGACTCAAAATATCTGAAGATATTTTTCTCAAAGATGAAACATACAGAGGCGCTGATAAAAAACCAGTCGACAAAAGTGTATACAGTACTCATAAATACTATCTCTTCTAATTATAATATTATAATTTTCACTTAAAAGTAGCTGCATAGTGATTTTCATAACTCAGAGCTCTTCAATCCAAATTATCAAGTTTTTCGAAAAGACAGAAAGTATGCAGAACGAAATGTTTCCAGAGGAGGAGGTGTGCTAATATCTGTTCTTCATTCTTACCACTTCTTAATTATAAACTCTCAAGTTAATGTTGCATATGATATCTGGATTCACTTAGTTCTGTTCCTATAATTATTGGGGTAGCATATATCCCTCCTAGTTCAGACATATCTTGTTATATCTCTTTCTGTGATACATGTGAGAATCTTAGGAATGTTTATCGCAATGAAAAATTTATAATATTTGGTGATTTCAATTTGCCAGATGTCAAATGGTCTTTAGACAAAAAAAATATTCTAATTCCAAATCAACTCCACAGCCCTTCAGCTATTTTTGCTAAATATTATGTTCTATCTTGAACTCCAACATCTTAGGTAGAATACTTGATCTTATTTTTCTAGATGACTTTCATTCTTCTCAGGTTAAAGAGAGTGACTTCACTTTGTCTGAAGTAGATATACATCATCCACCTCTTGAACTGGCTATCAACTACCAATTTATACCAACTCTTAAATCACCTAATGGTTCATCTGTTTTCCAATTTTACAAGGGAGATTACATTGGACTTAATCATTATTTTACCACTATTGATTGGAGTTTTCTTCAATTAGATTCTAGTAAATCTCCTGGTCTTGATGGAATATCATCTCTATTTTTGAACAAATGCTACAATTCGCTTGCTGATCCACTGTATCGTATCTTTCAAAAATCACTGAAGCCCTTCGATTTGGAATGAGTCAGCTCTCTTTCCTGTGTTCAAATCTGGTGACAAAACTGACATAACGAATTATAGAGTTATTTCCCTGTTATCAGCCACTCATAAACTCCGAGTCAATTCTAGCTGACATAGTCTTTAACACTTATAAGCAGCATATTGTTAAAGAGCAACATAGAATTTATACATCAAGATTTTATAATGAATGCAGTAGAGTTAGAGCAGCAAGTCGATGTAATATACACAGATCTATCCAAGTCATTTGACAGTGTGTGTCATGATCTCTTACTCATAAGACTAAATGCTATTGGAATAAGTGGGTGTTTCCAGAAATTGTCTTACCTATTAAACTGTACTCAGTTCGTTAATGTATGTGTCTTAAGAAACACTAGGCTATCAGAAATAGAGGAATTAAAGTGTCGCAGTTGATTATCAGAGACAAACATTGAAAAACAGTGGCATATCGTTCTATTGTCTTTACACCATTTCATTGGACTGTGGGTGGAGAGGCGTAGTACGTGTTTCCCTGATGCCTAACAGTTTCATCAATTCTTGCCTTAATTCGGATTCAAAATTTCGTCCTTGGTCAGAATGTAATTCCAGGGGGAGTCCGTGTCTCGCAATGACGTTCGTCATAAATGCTTCCGCTACTATCGTCGTTTCCTGATTAGGAATTGGCACTATTTCAGGCCACTTTGAAAAATAGTCCATAACAACCATAAAATATTTGTTTCTTCTTTCTGTTAAGGGAAGTGGTCCGATGATATCTATGGTGATTCGTTCGAATGGGTCTCCAGAAAGGTAATGGGCCATTTTACCTCGACTTCTTGTTTTGGGCCCTTTTCTGCCATTACAAAGGTCACATTCTTTACACCAATCTTCTACATCTCATGAGCAATTGGCCCAATAAAATCTTTCTTAAACTCGTGCAAGTGTCCTTTTAGTACCAAAGAGTCCTCCTGAATGGCTGCTATAAAGCTCTTCCAACACACTTCTGACCTGTGATTTCGGCAATATCACTTGGCGGACTACATGTACTCCATCAGGGCTCTCCCACTTTCGGTGCAATAGGCCATCGTGAAGATACAGGGAATCCCACTGAGTCCAGTACCCTTTAATGGTTCCATTATATTTGGCTATCTCTTGCCATGTAGGTCTGACTCAATTTTTCAGCCATTCTCAGACAACTTTCAAATTATTGACTTTTCTTTTGATTCTTTCTTAGGCTGGAAAGAATGTCTGCGTTGCTGTGGAGACGTCCCCTTCGATGCACTATCTCAAAGTTGTATTGTAGCAGTCTTTCTATCCATCTAGCAACTTGTTCTTCTGGTTTTTTTAAAATTAATCAGCAAGGCGCTATGGTCACTTCTAATAATAAAAATTCTGTTAAAAAGGTAAGTGTGGAAGTGTTCGAGGGCTTTGACAATAGCTAAAAGTTCTTTTCTTGTGACACAATAATTCTCAGCTTTTCCTAAGGTCTTACTAAAATATGCAATTACGTTCTCTTCCCCGTACAATACGTATGTAAAGAAAATCTCTAGATAAAAACAATCTTTTATTAGAAGAAATGGTGGAGGCGTCAAAAGAAAGGAATAAGCCAGAAATAGAGTGGAATTATTTTTCAGTAAAAAAAAAATGTTTTATAGTTTTTATTCTGTAATACAATAGTTCTTTAGTATTTAACACAATGAGTTTTTATCCTTATCCTTTAAAACAAACCTGCTAAATAAATTTTTCACAGTGAAATGATAGCATGTATCAATTTTTATTTTAAGGGGTTAAGCCCATCTGTAACATGTGGAGGGTGGGGCCACCACGGCACTTAGGCCCATTGTGCATCCTCCTGAGATGATAGACACCTCCTAGCTTGTGAGCCAGCTTACAGATTTAATGTAGTTGACAACGTCGCCAAGAGGTGCTTCTCTTATATTCGCCTGTGTTAGCCAATACTCGCCGAACACAAATCTGGGGTTAAGCCCAACACATGAACCACTTGAAATTAAAATCAATATGCACTTATTGTGAAAAATTTCTTTGTCAGTCATTTGGAATGTTTAGTTTTAAAAAGACATACTATACAGGGTATCCCAAAATTGCTGGGACACAGAGCTACCATGTGAAGTAGAGGTCAAAATAAGTCGATTGGACCAAAATGTACTGTGAGAAGAGTTCAAAGTTTACATAAAAAAACACAGTTTTGTATGCTGTTCAGAAATGAGTAAAACAAATTAAATGAAATTTGACAAAAGTGCATTTTAGAGGATTACTCTCCTTTCGGTGTTTAAAGAAACCCAAAAGAAATTGTAGAAGGGTTATAACCTCCCTCACACCTTGACATTTTTTTTTAGAACTTTCTTAGGGGTGGTAATAGGTTTCTCAAGTTTTTTTTTATTGAGAAGACCGTTTAATTATCTTCATTTTGTTACCCTTGTAAAAATTTTGTATTCCACATAGTTCCGAAGGAAAAAATATTTTTTAAATAAAAGCTAACATATATTCCTAGTACAAGTTTAATAAAATTGTAATACAAAATTTCAGTTTCAATTTTTTACGTCGAATTGACCTTTGTATCGATGAAGGTGGCCGTTATATTGAATATTTATTATAAAAAACGTTTTGACTTTGCACTGCCCACTAAATTTTGTATCATCAATTTCAGGAAAAATGTATTTATTCTGGCAACTTTTTTATGAATTTAACTGATACTTCGTTCTCATTCCCGTCTAGAATAAAAGCTATAAAATGCTGAAACTTATTTTTTCCTTGAAGTTTAACAATAACATAGTAATTGGGTTTAACAGAAATAAAACTGTTACTTCCATTATTTTGATGTAATATTTATATCTAGCATAGATGATCCTTTATTCTCCTTGAAAGATTTGTTCATACTTGAAGAATTGTCTTCATAATCTTCTTCTAAATAAACCTCAGAATAATGTATTCTCCTGTTCCGGCAAAGGTGTGAGTCTTTTGGAGCTAATTTGTAAGTTAAGGACAATAGTGATGCCAATAATTAACACACAAAGCTCAGAAACTGATATTCTATAAGCTACCTTTTCACTAAAAATTATATCTAAAATAAAAAGGATACTTGGATAATCATTTTTGGACACTCCAAGGTCAAAAGAGAAATCCATGTTTCCGATTCCATAATGATCACAGGTGGCAGTTCCACAATCAAGGCATGTCAAGCTTCGTGCCTGAATAACCTGATTCTTTGTTATTGTCCAAGCAAGTTTCCGGATACCCTGATTCCAGTAAAAGGTTTAATGGTACTTGGTACTAGTTTATCCATATCTTCAAAAGATATTTATTTATTTATTCACGGGTAACCCCATTAAAAAAAAAATACAATATTAAGTAGAATAAAAACAGCAAAATAAATACTGAACTAAATACTAAACTAATACTAATATAGGTAATATAAAATACAATACAAAATATAACGGCATCATATAACAATTATAAAATCGGTTAGAAAATGAAGACATAAAATGTTAGACTTCCATATTATTTAAATAAGTCTTGAGAGCATTAATAATTCCAAAAATATCACAATTTTTACATTTCAACTTATTACATTCACGTAACATTCGACTTACTGGTGAATTAAAAGCATAATTAGTGGTATGTATTGGTATATTAAATAAGTCGAATTGTCTAGTCCTACTAAAGGTATTAAAATTAATAAGACCTACTGCTTGGGGAGAATCAATATTCCCTGTTAACAATTTATTTATAAAAATTATATCAGAAACTGTTCTCCTAAAGTCAAGTGATTTTAAGTTTAATTGAGAATTAATTGAAGCATATGAGTAATCTCCTTTTATATAACCCATTTTATAGGCGCATATTCTTAAGACTTTATTCTGAATAGTCTCAATTTGATGCTTATGAGTAGAGCTAGGAATATATGCAAAACGCCATATTTTGCATATGTTGCATATATATACAATTTTTGATTTTGAATGCATATATTGACATTTTGTTAATTTTTTGGCATATATCTGACGTACTAATTGGCTGGACATTAAAATTATGAGTTGTGGACCAAAATAATATTTTGTGAAATGCCTTTACATGTCCATTTCCTAAAATTTTGAAGGATTAACTTTTCCCTGTAATAAATTACGGTTAATGGTGTAGGTACTTGAGAGGATTAAATTATAAACACCCTCCTTAAACCAACAAATTTTGCTAAATATCCTTTCAGGTAGTTGTATTAATATCTTCAAATTTCTAAATGACTCAGTTTACTTTCAACTTCATTTCAGTCTTTATTGTTGTGTTAACCAGTGAGAAAAATGGCAAAATTAATTGAGTCGTGGGTAAAATCTTATTCAGATTTTGTTGTAGAAGGTGATAACCAGGTGTTTTGTAAAACATGTTCTAAAATTGTAAGTACTTTTTTATTTTATATTTTATTTTGACCTTTCACAATGGTAAATCAAACGACAGTAAAATATTATTTCAACTTACAGTTAAAAAAAAGTAGGGAAACTTTACAACGTACGCATTTATTTAATTTAATTAAAACTTCAACATCTACGGGAATTTATTTGTTTTAGATTCCATGTAAAAAAAAGTTTCAAATCGACCAACACGCGAAAACACCCTCACATATAGCAAAGCAGAAATCTAAAGACACTCGCAGACAAAGTCAACTTCCCTTGAAACAATATTTAGAATCTGGATCGTCTAGAAGTGAACAAGCTATTTTTAATGAAGATTTATGCAAAGCTTTAGTGACTTCGAATATCCCTTTAATACGATTAAATAATCCAAATCTCCGATTATTTTTGCAAAAATACTGTAAATTTAATATTCCAGAGCTCATGGCCTTAACAGAGTTGCAGAAGAAATTAGGTCTAACTTTCCTTTAATAAATGATTTAATTAGTAATGTAAAATAAAATATTTCTTAAAGCTCCTCTAAGAACTCAATTGTACGAAGAAAAATTTCCTGAATTACAGATGCCACCGGAACCTGTGATTACTCTGTGGGGTAACTGGCTTAAAGCTGCCTTTTTTTACGCAGATAATTATGAAAAAATTAAAGATACATTTGATTTTGATGAGTCATCTAAGGGAATATCTAATACGAAAAAGTTGTTTTAAAATCACATATTACCAAAGCAATTAGTGTTTTTAAAAAATTATGCATTGTACCCAAAATTATATAAGATTTAGAACAAAAAAATTTACCTTTGGCGACTTCCGTAAATTTAATTAAGATGTTTGAATCAGAGTGTAAAAATGTCCAGGGCGATATTGGAAAGACGATTTTTCATAAATTTTCAAATGTAATTTTAAAAAATGAAGGATTTATTGTTTTAGGAAACCTTGCTAATATTTATTCTGGTAACTTTGAAGGTATTAATACTATTAATCCAGATATTTCAGGAAAATTTAAGTTTGCACCTATTACTTCTGTAGATGTCGAAAGGAGTTTTCTTTGTACAAGTACATACTTACTGATAGGAGACAATAATTTAATACAGATAATTTAGAAAAATATCTAATTGTTCATTCGTTTTATAATAATGTTGATTTGTAAATAAAATTAGTTAATAATTAAATAATTATTAATAAGTATTATATTAGGTATTGTAAAATAAAACAAATAATAAATATTTCGATCAAATAACAAATTACTCTTATTGCATATGCTCTGCATATTTTTCAATTTTTTACGCATATATTGAAGTATTTTGCGGCATATATATGTGCATATTTAACTACTTTTTAGGTGCATATATTCCTAGGTCTACTTATGAGTATTGTAATATGGGTTCCAAATAATCGAACAGTATTCTAATTGTAATCTTATTAGAGAACAATATATCGTTTTGAACGTATAAGCAGAAAAATTTGTGGAAGACCTAGAAATGAAACCTAATAGTTTTGATGCCTTTGCTGTTATCATATCTATATGTGCCTGAAAAGACAAATTACTATTCATCATGACACCTAGATCTTTAATGGTATCAACTCTTGATACACTATGATTGTTAATTTGATAGTCATGTATGATGGGTGACAAAATTTTGCTAAAAGATATACAGAAGCACTTCTTAATATTTAGATCCATTTGGTTTAGATTGCACCATATATTTAGGGAGTCAAGGTCTGTTTGCAATTCAATTATATCAGAATGTGAATTAATAGATTTAAATAACTTAAAATCGTCTGCAAAAAGTAGGTATTGGGTAAATTTTAATGTATCACAAATATCGTTAATAAACAGATTAAATAGAATAGGTCCACAATGAGAATCTTGAGGTACACCTGAAGGAACTGTAATCTCATGAGATACAACACCCGCAATTTTCACGCTTTGAAAACGATTTGTTAAATAACTTTGAATCCATGTCAGCATGACACCTGATATTCCAATAAGTTTATGGTTTACTCGATCAAAGGCTTTTGAGAAGTCTGTATAGATCGAGTCAACTTGTGACTTATTTTCTAAAGCATTAATTATGTAAGTGTTGTAAAGCAAGATATTAGTCACTGTTGACCGACCAGGACAGAAACCATGCTGTTCATTAATGATGATGTTTTTACATTCCCAAGATAAGAACTTACTCATGAGATAATCGAATGCTTTAGGAATATCGGACTGGATACAAACAGCTCGGTAGTTTTCAATTTTCTCTTTTGGGCCCGATTTATAAATTGGTTTCAAAAAACTATGTTGGGAAGCATTATACTTTCAATTTTCTTTGATCCGGCTCTGCTAATAGTGTTCTAAGTCAGATATATCTTTGCCATAAGCCATTCTGCTGTTAAGCGCCCATTTAGTGGTTGCCCCAACACCATCAGGAGCTTCCTTTCCTTGTCCATACTCACTGTAGTGTCACCTTAGTTCTGTGACTTCAAACCTTTTTGTTAGATATGTTACCATTGGAAAACAATTCTTCCTGTTTTTGTACTGAGTGGTCAGGCCATCACTGAGAAAATGAACTGTTTGTAAGTTTGGAATTAGTTTATGTACTTTGTCAGCTATTGGATTCAGATGTGTGCATATTGCAGCTGGATCATGCCTCAGGTTTTAAGAAATGGTACAGAATGATTTGTTTACAATTTTCGAATACTCATTATCTTTGTAATAAACTAGAACTATATGAAATGAAATTTGGGTCTTGGATCCCCTGAAATGAGCCGACTGGATTTCCGTTGCATATTTACAGGTGTAGTTTTCACTGAAGTTCATATGTACGAAGACATCAGTAAGTGAAAAGTAAGTTGGTACACCTGTACTGGTGATTTCTATTTCTTCTATGAATTAGAAATTTCAGGAAAGTCATTTGTAACTGCCTAACAAGTTCGTTTTTATTGTACTGTACTGTATTGTTTTCTTTATAGTTCTTTGGCATATTTTAGCTTTTCCTTTGATTATTACTTCCACTTTATCAGTGACCCATTTATTATATTGTCAGCTATTCCCCATTGTATTTCAAAAACTTTGTTTAAGCAGTTTTGGCATTTTCTGTTTAGACACTTCAGTATTATGACCATCACAAGTTTTTTTTTTATTTAACTTTTGAGCTTTTGGAAATTATGATATTCTCAGATTTTAATTTTTTAACCAAGAGCAGAATATTGTCGTGTTGTATACATAAATATGTTTCCCTAAATTTTGCATTTGGTATGAGAGCCCAAAACGACCTCAGTCTGCAAAAAGTTTTGTAGTGAATTTTAATTCTTGGGTGTGCTACAACAAATTTCTGGTGAATGTTTGCTATGGTATCATTCTGTTTTTTTTTTTTTTATTTTTTTAATGTCACGGTGTCTTTTTCTGGGACACAACTGCTAATTTCATCTCTTTCAAAAAAAAAGACAACATTTTTTATATGACTAAGCATTTGTTTTCTTTTATTTGAAATATGAGTATTCTTTGCAACCAGATGATGAGAACTAACAGTACTAATTATATGTTTCATTTGATATTTTTCTACAATATTTCCGGTAATAGAATCAACATGATTTTGTGTTTGTTTATGTTTCTGAAAATTGTTTTTAATTTGATCTTTCAAAACTTCACCAAACAACAAATGTGTGCCCCAATGCAGCCCTAAAAAAATGAATTCTTCTCTTACATTTCGTCTTCTTTCTAAAGTTGGTAAATGTAGGGTAATTTTTATAAAATGCAAGTGGAAATTCTTAACTTGTGGATGCAAGAAATGCATGGTTACAAAAGTTGAACATTGAGAAGCCAGTATCAAAGTATTTGAAAGTTTGTTCCCATGCACAGCATTTTAAAGAAGATGATTATTTGCCTACAGGTAATATAGATTTATTTTTCGATTTAATGATTTTATTTTACCTTTTTTTGTGTTGCAGATGCCTCATCTCAAGTGAAAATAAATATTGAAAAAAATGCTTCCACATTTGACTTATTGTTCATTAATATTATAACTAATATACACCGATGCTGTATAGAAGTATTTGAAGAATTGGCACATCAAACTGCCATCTAGGAGTCTCGATAGTCAGTGTCATGATGGTCTAGAGATAGCGCATTTGTGTACAGAACAAAGAGGTATGGGTTCGAATCACAGCGACGACAGGCTTTTTTCAAATCTCCAAGTATTTGTTTTCACCTTTGGGATTCGGGGATGGTCTTAATAATTCGTAGGAGGATTTTTGAGATTTTTTTCAGAATTTTCATTTTTTTTTTAGATATACTGATTTTTCGGATTTCGTTTTGCGATTTCTCGATATTAAATTTACAGTTTTATAAAACTTTAATTCAAAAATATGTTTACAATCCTCAAAAATAGAGTAAGATGTAAGATATATAAAAATAAACTATTTAAGTATAAATTAAAATATATATTACGGAAAGATTCATTAGTATACATAAAATAGCCTTAAATGAATTATGAAAGGTACAATAAATCTAATTTTAAATATATGAAATGAAATATGTCAATGTTATATCTAAACTATTAGCGAGACATTAGTCTAGGTAGAGGCTCATAATTAGCAAGGTGAAGTTGAATTGCAAATAGACTATTTATCCTTGTAGTTCTTGTGGGAACTCGTAAATTCATGAGTATATAATGACTCAGAGAAATAACGAGATCGATCAAGATTCTTCCATATACAAGAGTTGGGAGATTTATTGAGTACAGAATTGTGAGAAAATATGTACCTGGCGCTAGACCAAGTTTAAAGGAACAATATATTAGATATTTATTTTGGATATCTTCAATCTTGTTTCCCAGGTATGTAATTTCGGTAACACATTTAATTAAATAAAATACATGTCACACGAAATCTATACTAACAAAATAATCATCAATGTTATACAAACACATTCAAACGAGTAACTTTATTTTTTGTATGGAATCTGCTCTCAGCAGATCACTGCATATCACTGGGTAGCTCATTAGGTCCTCATAAAATATGAGAACATAGCCATAATTTTCAATTCTTTAAAGATAAGTATTCTGTAATAAATTTTAGGTTCCACATGGATGTGCAAGAGATGCATTGAAAGTGACCCTCATAGACTGAAAAAAAGTGATAACAAACAAAGAAGAGATTCACTTAGAAGTCTATCTTCTTCTAGCACTCAAGATAGTCATGTGATGCCTACATCAACTATTAAAGTATTACCTTATGATGTAAGATATAAATTATATTTCATACCAGTTATAAAAAACATTTTGTTCTTTTCTTACTTCTGCCAAATATATATTTTATGTTTTAGTTAAGTTCTTTGAACTGGGATACATATCATAGAGTAAATAGCGAACAAATATATTGTTACTGTGGAAGTAATGGAGAATGGTACAAGCAAATGCTACAGTGTGGAAGGTGTAGACAGTGGTTTCATGAAAAATGCCTTGACTGTATTCAGTATCCACTGTACTGTGGTGATAGGTAAACATATTTTCACATAACGTATTTTTCATTATATAAAAAAAAGCAATTGCTGTTTTATTTATTGAGTCATGTTTGTTTAAAATTTATATTTTCTCTTCCCAGTATTAATATCTAACATAAATGGGGTTTTTAAGGTTCTATGTATTTGTTTGTTCAATATGTAATTGTGGACAAGACTTTGTAAGAAGATTAGAAATGAAATGGGTGGACCTAGTACACTTAATGCTGTTTAATTTGACAGCATACAATTCCAAAAAGTATTATGATCTTGATACAGTTGTGATTCCATATATTAATGATAATTGGCATGCTCTACAGCTACCACCAAAGGTAAGTTTCTTAAAAAATATACAATTTTCTGGGAAATTAATATTCTTGTACCTATATTATCCCTGATTTTCAGTCTTGATTAGTCTTGATTGATTAATAAATAAATAAAACTTAAAGCGTCCTTCCAGAGGAAATATTTTCCTTTAGGTGCTATTTCTAAAATTGACAAAATAATTTGATTACCTAAATAATCTTTCTATTTTTATAAAATAAGGGATACAGCATTTAAATTAAATATACTGGTACTATAATTCAGGCCACAGTTAAACGATGTCATTGTACTAGCAATGGTAAGGAAGCAATATTAATATTTTGTGTGCATATTCATCCTCATACAGTATTATTTTTTTGATGAGAAAAGGTTTGACTGCATTGCCATGTACAAGTAACTAATCAATTCTCATTAATTACAAAAGCTTTCAAACTGTTACAGAATATTTATTAAATTGAAATAATTATAAATTTAATTTTTCTGAGGTTCGATACATATTAATAATTGCAAAAAATTTAAATTATAACTTTCTAAAAAAATTGCACACCTACTGCAAATTTGAAGCAATATATATTTATTGTAACTCTAGGGACCGAAGTCCATTTACAAGTATATCTGGTATGATTTACAAAAGTCCAGTATAAAATTACCAAGTATAAAAGATCTAAGTAATAAGTTTACAATAAAAAGAAAATATATATACTAAATATAGAACACGGTATAAGCACAATTAAATCAAGAAGACATTTTTATTGTTCTGGACAAAATGGAATGAGATTCATAGTTTGTTCTATGAACAACTTCCTCAAAAGTTTTCATTGATCGGGTCGATCTCGGAGGTACATGTAGATCAATGCTTAAAAGGGAAGAGCAGGATCTGTGACCATTAATCAAGTTATATAAAAGCACAATATCTTTGAAATCGCCCCGAAGACGTAAGGAGTCAATTCCAATATGTTATTGAAGAGATATATAGTTGTTATCAGTGAAGTGCATTTTATAAGCATAAAGTTTCATAAATATATGTGCAAATATTAAGAATTGGGCGAATTTAAAGCAGGAGAATGGTCATATTCTAATTTGGCTTTTTGTTCTTCCCTTGTTTCAACGTCATCTAAAATGTTGGTACATTGAATAAATTTAAAAGCTGAGTTTTTAAAGAAATTTTGAACTGTAACTACAAATATTTCAGGTACCAATGGGTTTCTAAAATACAGGACATGAATTCGTTTTGGATAGACGAATTCTTTTACGAATTGTACGATACTTTGTTCGAGGTTTCTTTGTGGTAAAATTACGAAAAGTCTAGTGTTTTCAAATTTTTTTTCTCGGGAAGCCGGTTTCTCCGCTTGAAACCTAATACGCTTGTTCACAAGTGCTGTTTTAATGTCTACATTTGAATGGTCTGATTATTGATTTTGCACTACCTGTATCGATCAAAAGTGTTAATTTGGTTGATTAATTTCAATGCATGATAGGGGATTAGTGGACGAAATATTTATTTCGACTAGGTCTGATTTGTATCGTACTCTACAGGGTTAGTCAAATTTTCAAATTCATTTTTAGATTCGTTTGTATAATATTGATTTTCGAATTCCCCACCATGATAATTATCATTAGAATAATTTTTTGAATATAATTCTTCAGCTACAAAATTCGGCTTTTGATCATAATTTTGAAAGTATTCGTTATTGTTATATCTATTATTGGGCTATTGCTTGGAACAAAAGATCTCCTAGTATTAAATGAAGAATTTCTAGAGGTCGTAGACTTTGGCAATCGATTTTGTGGTATTTGATTAGGTTTGAATATATTACATGGAGGTCCAAATACTTCAACGTTAGTTGGGTAGTTTTGAGGTGGTTGAGGCTGTGGTTGTATATTAATTGGCTGACTAGGAAAGACCGGGTTTTGATTGTTAGGTTGATAGTATTGATTGAATGTATTTAAATTTGGATATTGTGAGTTATAACGTGGTTGAAAATGATTATTTGGCCTAGTTGCAATATTTTGTGATTTAAATTGGTTAAGTCTAGGAAAATTATTTATTTCTCTCTATTCATTAGAATTACCGTAAAAGCTTTCAAAATTTTCATAATCTTTAACATAAACCATAGCATCCTCAAGAGATGCCGGTTTCGTGAGATGCATGTTGTTTCTTAGGACTCCAGTTGAGCCTGCCGGTTTTTCACAATGATTAATTTGACGTAACTTATCTTCTCTTGTTAAAGTAACGTCGTTACTGATTCGTTGAACGATGTTACTTCTTAATAACTGGAGACGAGTACCAAAATCTAACAAACTTTCATTGTTAAATGGTCTTGTTCTAGTAAGCTATTGTAAAAGACATTCTAAATCTCTTTTATCAGAAAACCCTTGTTTTAAAGCATTTTTTAAAGATTCACAATTATTTAATTCCATTCGATTTCCAACCAAAGCCTCCGCTTTCCCTACTAGTTTTTCTTGTATGCTCTCGAAAATATGATTGTTTAACTCTTCATCATTATGCATGGAATAAGTTTCTATTAGCTTATCGCAACGCGAAATAAATTTATTCAAAGTATTGTTATCACCGTCATAAGGTTTAATGTTATCTACTTTGAATTTAAAAAGATCCCAATTAACAGAGCGTTGAGCTTGTGGAATTGAAGGAGGTGACATTTTAAAATTATCAAATAAATCTGACACAAAAAATTCTTTACCTTCGGAAACGTTACTTAAATTATCGTTTTCAATACTAAGATTATTAAAGTTATTTAACAATTCTTCTAATTCATTCATAAAGTTATTGTAATATGCTTAGATATATTTTTAATATATGAAAAATCAATAAACTTATATTCTTAACAACTGTCTCTCCTGAAAACTTAATCAGAGGGTAAGGGAAAGGCAAAAAGGAACTTGGCATTTACTGTATTCGCCTGGAGTATGTTGATCCTCTTCCGACTCTAATTTCACTTCTTTAAGCTTTTGAGTCCTCGATGATCCACTGAAGTGTTGTCCACTGAAGGGGTAGATTCTTTGGATTCGTACTTCGATGTTGAAACACCTAAGTTACGGAAAGTTTTTTCTCGATACGAAAACTATGAAAATGTTTTTCCACGATCCGCACGAATCCTACTTACTGCGCCAGAAACGATTTGAGGATTCGAAAAAGCGTTTTTAAAAATTATTTTATTTTTATTAGGAACATAATTTTGATTGCTACTACAACGAAGGTTTAATTTAGAGTGATTTACATTTGTTAACAATAAAAACAAGCAATTACAAAAATCTTGATTAAGCATTATTAGATATCCAGCAGCAGCTGGCTCGGCACTATTCTTGGAATTGTATCATGTAATTCAGGTGACAATGTCATTAATAAACAAGTTGAAAAGAATGTGACTGAGGTGTGACCTCTGGGGTACTTTGGACTTAACAGTGATTAACCCCTTTGAATGCTTTGGAAAAATCCGTGTAAATAAAATCTACTTGCTGTTTCTGCTCCAAAGTATCGCTCAGGAAGCTGTTATCTTTTAATAAATTCATTTCTGTAGATCTACCATCAACAATGCCAAATTGCTGGTCAACTAAGATACGTTCTATAATAGGTTTGATCTGGTCACAAATAATGCTTTCCAATAATTATAGTATTGTATTTAAAATGCTAATAGGCCTGTAGGAAGGAAATCTTTTGGTATTTAGAGATTTTTCAAAGATAAAAAACAATGGGCAAGCTAGGTTAAAATTACAAAACTTTAGCAAACTGGGTGGAATTCCGTCAGGTCCAGGTCCTTTGTGGATATTCAATTTATTAGCTTATTATAAATTTCAGATATAGATATTTTACAATTAGATATGTTCAAACCACTGTTAGTATTTGAAATATCACATTTGCTATCACTGTATGTAATTGAGAAATACTAAGCAAACTAGATCTGCCATTATAAATAACTGTTAGGAATATAAACACTACTCGCTTAGGCGGTACATATACTAAAATTGGAACTAGACTCTGCATGGTAGAGGAAGAAACCTCATACCATGTGATCTTCGAATGCGAATCTCTTACTAGTTGACGTTTCATCCTTTTCGGCCTAGAACCTGAAAGAACGCCCCATGAACACTTGGTAGGGAATCTATTAAAACTAACCAAAGACACAGGACTATTCCAAAGATAATACCTGAATACGGGGAAAGCAGGGGAATACAATAGACCCAAGAGGCCGCAGTGTTCTGGGCCAAACCTAACCCTACCTGCTTACAGCTGATAAAGATAAATATATAAACATTATTTCTCTTAGAGTTCACAAAGTTCCAAAAATGTTTGAGGTTGCTAGGTAGAATCTGCTCAGTATTTCTCACGTAATCACTATAACATTGACTCAACAAAGTTTTAGATTAGGCTCTAAGTCTAGCAAATTCCGTATAATCTTGGGGTAGATGAGTAGTTTTATATTGTCTGTGCGCTCTTTTTTGAATATTATGCATGTCCTTAGCTCTGGGGAATACCATTTAGGAAAATTGCTAGAAAATAGGAACAAAGCTGTCTATAGTGCTATATAAAACATCATACAAAATGTTGACCATTTCATCGAGGGGTTTGTTGTCAAGCAATTAATCCCAAAAAAATGCCATCTAGATAGTTAGAAATTCCGATAAAGTTTGCTGATTTGAAGTCATAATAGTAACTTTCTGCTTTTAAGCTATTATCTACACACTTATTATTACGGTTAACCCTAATAACTAAGGGGGAGGGTGGTATCTGTCGGGGACCACTAGCTCTTCGATAGATTTACCAACCTTGCACTCTACTTCATGGACAAGAACGAGATCAAGTAATGAATTCTCAAAATTGTAAGTGTTGTTTTTTTTTTTAAAGAGATTATGATAACAGATATTGTTTTCTGGATAAGTACAGGCTCGAGAGAGATTTTTTTGAAAAGGGTATTTATTGACCTCATTCATATCGTCAGCTGATTCTGTTAGATTAAAAATCATAATATTATTTGAGCGCTTTTGACGTTCATATAGTTCTGATGAGTTGTCCTCATAATTATTATTTTGAAAACCATTTCCAATTTGTTATTTTTAAGTTTAAATTCGTTTTTCATTTCCCTAATTTCATTGTCTTTATCGCGTTTCAGCTGATCTATTTCATGTTTCTGAGAAATCACTTCGGTTTTTAATTTGTCTATCTGCTTTAATAGTGCAGGCATATTTTTAAATGCATGGCGACGGTCAGGGCAAAGATACATTAAAGTCCTTTTCTGGACGATCACAGCCACAAAGCACGTATCCTCTAGAGACCCCACGCCATTGTCTGACTTTTAAACCACCTTGTGTTTGGAACAGGAACTAAAATGACAATTGACAGATGGCGGTAAATACAAATTATAATTTTTAGTAGTAGGTAGTAGTTCTAAATTAAATTTTAAATAATTTCCACATAAATTATTTTATAAAGTATAGAACTAGTAAGTTCGAAACTTTTATTTTACAAAATAATTTAGATGATATGCCAAATTTAAGGAATTAATTTGTTATAATGGATCTAATTTGGAGAGTTGGTTTTGCATATTATTATTAAATAAATATAAAGAAATATCAATAAATAATAAATAGAGCATTCTTAAAATATGTTTAATAATAACTTAAATATTATTAGAACAAAATAAATACAAATAATAATACATATTTAAAGAATACTTACTTAGAGCAAATACATATACAATCTCAAATCTTTAAAATATCAATATATTTAAATGTGAAGTAGAGACTATATTACATTTTATTAACACTAAAGTTAATTTTATAAATGTCTTTTTACCTGAGGATAAATGTAATATAGGTATTTTATTAAAAGGTGAATCCTTCTAACTATTCATTCACTGATAAATATTTTCCTTTCAAATACAGATGGTATACTTTCTTATCTAAAAAATAATTTCGGAATCTAGTCCAGTGATAAATTGATTATCAATTAGTTGTACTCGTTTGTCTTTTTATGATGCATGGTAATTCAATGAAGTTTTTCTTGAAGTTTTCAACGGCATCAAAATTATTGCAAAGCACAGAAGGAAATAGAAAAACAAAACATCACAATTTTGCAAATAACTAAGAAGAAACTATAAACAGAAATCAAAAGCCAAAGCCAACAAAAAAAAAACACTAAAATCAGACGGAAAAATGAGAATAACCAAAAACATAAATACACGTCACATCTTTGGATTCTTTGGTTAAGTTTTTCACCCATAAAACTTAAAAATAGAGTAAGAAATCATAATTTCACCAGTAGCCCCATCTAGGGTTTGGAGTCAATAGCATAAGAAATGTCAGTTGTTGGGTTTGACCTTGGTCATTCACGTGGAACCTCTATGTGCTTTGTGATAACAGCTTTTAATTATGTTGCACACAGACCAGTACAAACATCAGTACATGCTGATATTAGATATTAATAACACCCTTATTAAATCTCTTTCCTAGTTTTCTGTGAGAATCCCGTTAATGTTACTATCTTATTGTTATCTGATTGATATCATAATTACTTAAGTACCCTTATTTACTTTAAATAGTCAGTTTATTTTGTTATATTATTGATGTTTTCTTAATTACTTTGTTTTGTTAAATTACTTCGCATATATATTGGATACCGAATTGTAAATTAGAGTCACATTTGAAAAAGAAGTTGTACTTCGAAACATGTCATGTGTAGTGTTTTTAAATTTTTTAATTTTTATTTTTTAAAATAAAAGTTTTGTGAAAATCTACCAAATTTGGTTTTACTCATTCAAGATCAGTACATGCATTATAGGGTGACAACTGTTACAAGATACACACTTATTATCCTTGATAGTATCATGACAAGTGATACAATTATTAGCCATAAATATCTGGACTATAGCAGTAATCAGTAGACTTGTTTTATCTGGAGATCAGTTTTTATAGTTTTTGCTTCTTTTGGATATATATTAACAAAGTTCCAATAGCAATTTTGAATTTTAATTTTGAAAGAGTAAAACCAAATTTGGTAGATTTTCACACTTTTATTTTAAAAATAATTTTTTTTTTTTTTTAAAACACTAACATGACATATGTTTCGAAGTACAACTTCTTTTTCAAATGTGACTATTTACAATTCGGTATCCAATATATATACGAAATAATTTAACAAAACAAAGTACTTAAGAAAACATCAATTGATGTTTTCTTAAGTACTTTGTTTTGTTAAATTATTTCGTATATATATTGGATACCGAATTGTAAATAGTCACATTTGAAAAAGAAGTTGTACTTCGAAACATATGTCATGTTAGTGTTTTTTAAAAAAAAAAAAAATTATTTTTAAAATAAAAGTGTGAAAATCTACCAAATTTTGTTTTACTCTTTCAAAATTAAATGGATTTTCATCAAGTAAAGGCCGAAACAATAAATAATTTGAATTTTAAATCACTATTACACAATAATTAAACCGAATTTGGTAAGGTTTTTTTAGCTGTTATGGTAATCAACTAAATTATTTACTCACAGTTAAAATAATGAAATTTTTACGCCACTTTTACCACTATAAAAAGATAGTTTTCTGGAGACCCTAAATACTTGCGTCTATATCAAAATCGATATAGAATTATGTATTGTATTATTTTCAACATTATAGCAGATTGCAACATTTTTGAAAGTCCGGAACATAATTGTGAAAAAGTCACTCTTTGAGATTATTTCAAATTTTCACGTTTCAGGATCCCTCGGTTACGAAAAACATATTTCCTCATTTCGTCAGTTTGTCTGTCGTCGTCGTCTGTCTGTTGGCGCGATAGCTCAAAAATGGCTTTAGAGAAAAACTTAAAATTTTGTATACAGATAAGGTTTCTTTATGGCTTAAAACCAGTTATACTTCCTGTCAATTATATACACGGTGAGCAGTTTAAAAAAACAAATATTTTTATAAGTACAGATTTCGACTAAAATTGGTATCTGAGTATTTTAGAAGTCAAAGATAATAGGACCTAAATAAGTTTTTAAAAACTCAAAATAACGTTGAAAGAAATTGTATTTAATCAAAAAGGTTTCCCTTTAATGAAAATAATAAAAAGTGTCCTTTTGCTTTGTGTAACAGGACCAGTTTAAAAGCAACCAATCATTATCGTTTAATAACGTTCCTCTTGATCCGACCCAAACTAGCACTTCGCATCCGCTCGGTGTTCTTCGTCACGTTCGTGAAAGTAAGTGCTTAAGAGTTCTCAGTTTTTTCAATTTCTATACCGAGGAAAGTTCTGGGTAAAATATTTTACCGATTTTTTTTTTCACTTATCGATCATGAATCGGTGGCATGTTGAAGGTTGCTTACTAGTCGGCTCCGCGTCACATTATAATATAAACAAAAACGCTATTTTACAAAAAAATCATGTTCCAGACTTTCAAAAAAAGTTGCAAATCTAATATAATTCTGAAAATAATACAATATATATTGTTTTTTTTTTCCTCAAAATTATTAAAACAAGCGCCATTAATTAACTAGTTCCGGACCTTGGAAATGGTTGCAAATTTAAACTTAGTTTTATTTAAACTAGTCGATTACAAAGTTTAAAAACTTCTGTAATTAATGTGAAATTTTTAAAATAGAATGTCTTTATTGACTGGCCTAAAAGGCTGATTGGTTTATTAATGTTAAACAAAATTCGAAATAGTATAGTATTACATTATGAGTGAGTAAAATGACTTTACACAAGTATAAATATTGTCACACAAGTGGAAAACCGAGTGTAAGGGGTGTAAAACAATCACTATTGCACAAGTGATATACATTATTTTTCCTACGACTACAAGACACATTTAAAACCAGCTGACTATAGAAGTTAAATCTGAATGTGGCTGGTCTTTATGTTTGGATTTGGATTTAGAACTGTGGTTCGGTTCCTGATAAAAGGAACTTTTTTTAATAAAAAAATGTTAAGAAAAAATTTCATACTGTAGTTGTTTAATTCACTTTTCGAACGTATCAAAAAATGTAATTTTACGCAGATAGAACAACTTTTCTAGATACCTACTTCAAGTGAGCGGTCGCAAAAGATTTTTTGCTCTAGGCCGAATAAATTTACATTGACTCAGTTCATGTTCCGACAAGGCCTTTTTAGGTAAATTTTTAAAAACAAGTCTAGTTACTTTTGATTTTTTCTTAAAGGCCTAGGCACATCCTCATCTAATCGATTTTTTTATTGTAGATATTTTATTCACTCATTTTATACATGTATACTGGTACTCTAGTATTTTTCATATTGTGGCTTAGGCCCATATTTATAAACCAATCTCAGGTGAGTCGGACTTGGCTGAGACATCCTTGAAAGAAAATCGAAGTTCTGTTATAATTTCTCGAGATCTCCAGGTGGTTCCGGTGTTGCACTTGAATTTAGAGATGGGCAGTAGCAAATCCGTAACTTTTAAGTACATTTACGGATTTGTTACTATCCATCTCTGAATTCACGTGATATAACCCAACTTCGATTTTCGGACGACTCCCCAGAGATCTGTTTATAAATACGGGCCTTAGTAAATGCTCGGGAGAGTTTTGGCGATGGTTCTTTCAAGAACTTTTATGCCTGTCTGCTCTGGTACATTTTTCCACAATTCCTGAGATTTTTGAAACTTCCACAATTCCTGAGATTTTTGAAACAACTGCTTTGGGCATGTTCTGATAGCTGTCAGCTTAAGTAGAAAGTAGATTTTTATCCACATGCAAATGGTATGTCACTTTTAAAATAATTAAACAATGCAATGTGGAATAGGGCTAGAGACTGAGTATCCCGTATATCATTTTTTAGTCACTATTTTACAAAATAAATCCTGTATGGTTCTGGTTTCTCAGCTTGAACTATCATACCTCACCCATAATTCCGATGTAAAGTCAGTTTGCCATAAGACTAATACTAAATTCTAACTGTGACCTGCAGTAAAGTGTATTTTTTTTAATTTGAAATTTTGTATAAAAATTGCTTTATTTATATTTTCTTTTTGAGATTGCAAATGTGAGTAAATCTGAAAGAAGAGAGAACATAATGTCTGTATTAACAAACAACCGCAATCGATTCAAATGCGGTCGTGAGATCAAGAAACGAACAACTATATGGGGGCTAAGAGTACGATTACCACCACCTGCACCTTGTGTTACTCTACCCCCAACCAGTATAGTCAGTGAAGATAATTTAAAAGAATTGTGGCAAGGAAATAAAAGGTTACAGTTTTTACCCATAGAAAAAAATGTAATAGTGAAAAGAATAGTAGTTACTGATGCCCATATGAAAAATGTTATGATGGGGGTCTCATATCAACAAAATTATGGGAATTCAGAATCTGATTCACCTTGTCCCAGTCCCGAAACTGTTCAAGAAGAACCTATTTTACCACCAACTATAAAATTACTACAGAAAAATAAATACCTGGGTGCAGGATGTGCTAAAAAGACAGCCCCATTCAAAAAAATGAGCTTACAAAGACGAAAAAAGCTTTTAGCAATGTCTACTAGAGAACGTGAAAGAATTTTAAAAAGGCCAAAACGAAAATTAAATACAGATCCAAAGGATGATACTAATAAAATTGAGGGATTCCCACCTACACCGCCGACATCCGTTAGTGCCCCTCCCACTCCACCTGCTTCTAACACTACCTCATTGGTATCAGATTTAAGTAACGATTTTTCAGAAGGCTCCAATACACAAAGATCTGCAAAGAAAAGTAATATTTTAGAGTTAAATTCTGAATTAAACACGCCCTGTGATACTTCGGGAGATGAAACAAGTTCTAAAAGTACATTAGATACGATCATTCCACCTCCCAAAGACTTTGAAGGGAAAAACAATCCGTTTTTGACTTTATTGAGAGGAAATACGGAAGAAATAAAGAGGTTAGTTACTCCCAATACATTTGTTTTTTAAATAGTCCTATGATTTTGTAGGAAATATGGAACTTTTTATCCAGCAGTAGAATTCATTTACTTTAAGAACCTACTATACATGCATATCAATAGCGCTCTGCCCACTGCCGTTTAATTGGTGGTTCACATCCATTGCTATTCTACCAATAGCCATACAAATTCATAGGCCTGCATTTGTTTGCTATTATTATTATGATTTAACAATTAATTTAATGCTTCTTTGCTGTGTTGATGTATTATTTAGTTGTACCCGATTAATTTTCATGTAACGTTTGTAAAAATGTCCCCTAAACCAATTTATCGAGACAAGCAGTTTTTCTGGTGTATAAACAATATATTAAAAAACTTTGTATACGCCACTGCTTTTCTGTAGTTGGGCATGACCAGGTTAATGACGTGCAAGGCGTGTCCTTAAAGCAAACGAAGTCTATTACATTGTCACATCACGACAATAACTTCTACATAATACATTTTGTAATGAGTGATCTACAAAAAAATGTTTCTAAATTAGGGCCACGATCGACTAGGAGTGATAACTATGCACTGAATTAAATCGTAATTCATAAAAAAAAAGAATTGTACGCTCCAATATGCGTGATGACTTCCATACTTTAGAAACTTTTTTTTTTAATCACTATACTATTAATAGCTATGTAAACGAAAATAACGTAAAATGCTGTTTCTTCAGAAACTATAATCATGCAGTTGGTTCCCTAAAAAAAAAAACAAGGTTTTAATTAGTGCTATTTCCTTTATTTAAATTCCACAGCCGCCATAATTTTTCTATATTTATTTGAAGCAATTCTACCTACATATTATGTAGTATGTAGACAAAAAGTGGCATGTATTCATATAACTTTATAATATTACTTTTCTATAGATTGGCTGGATAATCTTATAATATTTTATTCATCTGTGAATAAAAATAAGCATAACATTCAAAACCTACTAATGTAATTTATGACAATTTATGGTAAATATACAAATAAATAAATTATTTACAGAAAAAAAGACATTACCCTCCCACTGCCCTTAACAGCTGTCATACCAGGTAAGCCATTAATGCGTCCAATGAAGCGTCAGCTGAGCGAAAAGGACATCATCATAGGGCCCAATGGACAAGTGAAAAGGAAACGTTTTAGGAGGAACAAGAATGCCACCTTTATAAGCGGTGCAGGTGTTAATGGTGGTCAAACTGCTAGCAAAACTGCAGCTGTGGTTCCAGCTAGACCGGATGCAAAAGATTGGGTTGGAAGAAATAGCATTACACCTACCAATTCGACTTCTAATTTAGGTAACGAAAGTGTGCCAGTCTATTTTTTGTTTCGTTTGTGTCTTGGCTTTGACAACTAAGGTTACTAGCCATAGATAAATTAATATTAAAAGATAAACCGTTTAATTGCACGGCACTGGTAACAAGTGGTTAGTTCCGGCCATACTATTTGGAGCCACTTTCACACGCTAACCAATTGGCTGATTAACTTGACACAGTCAGCATAAAAGAAGAAAATTAAAAAGAAGTGTCAACCCTGAACGCCGCTCATTCAAATGTCCTTTATTATTTATTTACATTTTTTGGCATTCATTACTTTAAAAAACTAACATTTACATCAAAATAATATATGCGCTAGTTCAGTGCGATGTCATTTTGGTTCCACTGACATTTAATTCTAACCAAACTTTTAACAAAAACATCAATAAATTTGACATATACGTTTTTACTGTTTTTATTTTATTTTAAAATATTGATTACAGGTCATAAAAAATAGTTTAAAGGTATGTAATTGGTAACTAAACGATTGTATATTTGATACATGCTATCTACTTTAGGAATATATTTATTAAAGTGAAAAAACGATATAATTTAGGTAAACCAAATGAACAAAACGCACTCCAAAAATCCACTGTCACTTTAATTGTCAGTGGAATCATAATTATATCATCACTGAACCAGCGCATTTAACATAAATATTAGTTTTTTAAGTAATAAAACCCCAAAAAAATTAAAAATTTATTAAAATATTTGAAACAATAGGTAGGTATAGTTTAATCATTTAATAAAAGTAAGGTGCATTTAATCATTTATTACATACATAACATATACAAATAATAATAACTAAGTGAAATTAACAGTATTCTCCTCTCATTCTTGGAAAACTGGACCAAATTTTGATGCAGGTGTCAGGGGTTTCCTATAAAAACAAAAAAGTGTACATACTTACATATTATTGAACAATTTCTCTTATCAAAATGTGCAATAGTTGATTTGAATTATATTTTAACTAATCTGTTCTGGTTGATCTAACAAATTTGAGTTTAAAAATTACTTTTCATTTTTAACAGAGGGTTGTTCAAATTGTTTATCACTAATACTAAGTTTACATTTGCAAATGATTTCTTGTTTTTCGTTGCAGATTAGCAAATCTATCTTATGCTACTGTGTATGTGCCTCAACATTTTCTAAAATCTGACTGTTGGGATAAGTATAGTTGAACTAATAAAATTGGTACATAATTTGCAATTAGTCGTTTACGTTTTGAAGCAATTTTACTAAAAGAATCTGGCAAAAAATGATCTTCACAAAGATAGCGAATTTTATTATCTAAAGATAAATTTAAATTCTTAAAGCAGTTCTCGTGAATTTTAATATCGGAAAGAATGAAAAAATATTATTGAATAACCAGCCTGCTGAATATTAGAATAATACTTATTTAAACAATTAAGGGGCTGAACAAGAATACTTAATCTACCCGGGTCAGATATGTTTTGTTACAAATAGGTATATTAAAAAAGAATTGAAAATCGATCCAAAATGAAATTATACTTCGTTAAGGCTATAAGAAAACAATGATAAACAAATTCCTTAAACAAATCTAACACCTTATTAAATTAAATTGTTAATACTTACTAATTACATCAAATCAGCACTTATTAATCTTCTTAACCTAAAAATAACTTACCTATCTATGGAACTACTTCCCATGGAGAAAGGATAATTATATCCTCAAAACGCCATAACATCATAATAACTTTTATTTTATGATGGTTTTTGTGCATTTTTCGACCATTTCACCTTCCGCCATTCCATTTTTCATTTTTAACGAGGTTATCAACACAGTTATTGACAAACTTCTCTTTAAAATATCCCAGCAATAGTATGGCCATTGTATAAGGTGCAGCTTATGCGTTTGGAATAACTCTAATCTCATGAAAGTTTATGGAAACTGGCAACATCGCTGCCATCTTATTTGCGATGGTGGCTCCAAATAGTATGGCCGGAACTAACCACTTGTTACCAGTGCCGTGCATTTAAACGGTTTATCTTTTAATATTAATTTATCTATGTTACTAGATGGTTTCCACATTTTCTCATATACAGGGTGTTTCCGAACTTGGCGTCCAAATTTGTAGGGGTGGTAGTTCCCATAATTTGAGAGCGATTGGCAGATTTCATTTTTCCAAAATATTCAAAATAAAAATAATTAAAAATTTTAAACAGGTACGGTCCTGCACAGCGATGGATCGCCTCGAGCAATACGCACTAGAAAAACAAACGGCTACGTCTTTCGATACCGGCCGGGCGGAGGGAGAAATTTGCAAATCGCATATGTTTTTGAGTTGTAAATCCGGATGAGTAACCGATCAAGCGACTATTGCGCTACGCGCTCAGGGTAGGACCTGCTTTTTAATTTGTTTTATAATGGCTCTATTTTGTTTATTATAATTTTTTAGAAAAAAGAATGCCAATCGCTCTCAAATTATGCGAACTACCACCCCTACAAATTTGGACGCCAAGTTCGGAAACACCCTGTATATAGGACAATCCTTATCAAGACCTTTCTAAATCTAATTATGTTGAAATATGGTTTTTGTACTACTAGCGTTGTGTGTCGCTTTTTTGACATCTATTAATGTTGAGAACGTTTCACCTATGGCCATGGTGTATCTTAGGTGTATCAACTCTCCAAAAATTGCATATCATTGATCAGGGTATGGGTACAAATCCATAAAAATCGCAAGTGTATTACGGTAAAAATTGACAGTTCATTTTTAACCTATGCAATCGTGCAAATCACATTTTATTTTAGCTTTTAGCAAATGAAAAATACAACTGAGGTCTAATTTTCAACATATATTTATGATTTACGACTTGAAAATACAAATAAAACGGCTTAATCTACAGGTTTATTTTAATTTACTGAAAATTAAAACCTTATGAATTTCACATTCATTGCAGTCATAGTTTTCTCCATTATCTTAGCATTCATCATCTCTGGGATTAAAGCGTTGGACTGAAAATTTATTTTATCTTGAATATAAATACTGTAGCTAAAATAAACTTCTGAATTTTTTTGAGAAGTTGAATTTTCGGGTTTGTAAAGCATTGGCCTTACTTAAGCAACCAACTGTTTTTTTTTATTAGGGATTGAAAATTGTTTGAACTATTTATGTAAAAATATTTAGGCTCTCTTTGGAACTCATCATTCTTCAATGCCCAAACAACAATCAAGAAATTAGAGAAATTAGTAACCTTTACCTAAATATTAAGAAATATACAACTTTTCCAGTAAATCTACCTTGTCTACTGAGCAACAGTAGATGTTATTTACCATTATATCAATACATAATCAAAGCTAATATTGAGCTATAGTAGAATACCAAAGCACCTTTATACATTTGTCTCCTCTCTGTTTAATCACCCAAGGATTAACACCTGTGCAAGTCTAATCCCGCCCAGGAGGTCCTCTGGCCAAAAAATGGTTCCTATATTGTGTCCTGTGTCAACAACAACAAAAAAAAAAAGAATGAAAAAACATTCATCAAAAGGAAAATATATATGTACCTAGAAAACAGGTCAATTTAAATAATATATCAAGAATAACTGCAGAGGAAAATGTCTATGGTTATATAAATACAGTCCTTAAAGTCAGTTTAATTATTAACGAAGCTTTGGCCAGTTAGTTCCATACCAGTGCCATTTAACTAAGGAAAAAAACTTTACTCTTTAAGTCTGTCCATGTAAAAATATTTGAGCCCTTTATCCCTTAAATCAGCCGACGTAAAAATATTTGGTCCCTTTACTCTTTAAGCCTACTCAAGTAAAAATATTTGAGCTCTTTGCCTTTTAAGCCTACCCATACAAATATTTGGTCCTTTTACCCTTTACGCCTGTCTATATATTTTGCCCATTTATACCTTAGGTCTTTTGGCCCATTTATACCTATGTCTATGTAAAAATATTTTGTCTTTTCACCACTTACACCAGTAACTACAAGAAACATATTTGGACCATTTACCCTTTAAACCTAGGCTATTTTGATTTTTTTTTTTATTCAGGACACAGACAGAACTAGCCCAAAAAAGTGTCCACCAGATTATACAATAATATAGTTATCGTTTAATAGTTATGAGTTACAATGAGTTACAATAATAAATAAGTTACAATAAAGTACAATAATGGAAACCAATTATACCGGGTGTTCAACTTAAAGCGTTACAGCTATATACCGCTTTCTATATAAAAAAAACGTTTCAGACGAAAGTTTTATAGTTTTGTGGAGAAAAACTTTTGGCTAAAATCGTTTTTTATAGCTAACCATAATATGGCCAACTTTTTTTTCGCGCAGCAACATTTTCAAGTAGCTGTTACTCAAAAAGTAAAAGTCCAATAAAAAAAATATTTTCCTCAAAAGTTTCCTATTTTTTTATGTACTTTAAGAATATGTAAGAAAAAATGGGATTCCCATTTAAAAAAACAAAGTCCACCTCGATATGGCCATATTATGGTCAGCTACAAAAAAATGAATTTAGCCAAAATGTTTCCCCCAAAAAACTATAAAACTTTTGTCTGAAACTTTTTTTTCTAAAATGCATATTTTCGGCGGTATTTGACTGTAACACTTTAATTTGAACACCCGGTATAATAACAAGCACCTAAGTGAGAACACTTGTATGTGCTGACAAAAATTAAAATTTTATTTTAATTATATTTAATGAATTATAAAGGAAATAAAAAAAACATTTTTTTTAAATAAAAAATAAAACTTGAACAATTTATGCAAGAAACAGAAAAAAAAACTATTTAAGTCCGTTATTCTTGGAATATTCTGATAAACTTTGCATTATTTTGGAAAATGTATATTTTGCTAACTTTACAGATTTATTTGTTTAATAAATTTATATGAAGAGGTAGAGCGTTATAGAACTTTGTCCCTAGATAATTTACACTGTTTTTAAAAAACTCACTATTTGGTTTTGGTACTTTAATGCACATGTTCGATGCAGTTCTAGTGT